GGAACCATTTAGACAAAAAGGTTCTTCTATGGCATCGTGAAGCACCTTTATTTTTAAGAGTGTAGTCCCCAGAATGGTTAGGTAGAGGTGGGTTTGAAAATAAAAAGGAAAAAGAGTTTTGACAGAGATATATATATATATATATATATATATATATATATGTTTGTGTGTGTATGTAAAATGACAGTAGCCTACTTATAATGCTTAATACGCTCAGGCTAATGTGCTACTAGGCCTTCTACTTATAATAACAGCAACAGTTTCTTTAGATGCCTTGGTCAGTTTAAATGAGTGGCATTTACTTACGTACCTTCTAACACTGTAAGAGTGGTTTGTCCTGTATGACTGCCGCTAGGGAAGGTTGTGTAGGCACAGCTGTAAACTCCCTGATCACTCATCTTCACATCTTTGATGATGATGGAGGCCTCATAGATCGGAGGAGAGCTCTTACTGAAGCTGACTCTGTCTTTCAGGAATGTGTCATGCAGAGAAAGGCCATGGTCCATGCTAAAGACCATGATTTCACATTTACTGGACTCATTCTGCCACGTCCACTGCATTTGTTGTATTTTGTCTTCTGTGTTTCCATGGATATATTGGCACAACAGTGTGACATCATAACCCTGGTACCCAGTAACTTTAAGATTAGTGACAACTTTCTGTCCATGCAGTACTGGAAAAAAAAGAGAGAGTATAACATAATAACATAAGGAAAGAAGCTTTCCTTATATACATGTCTAATATACATATTTCCTTAAATACATAATGTCTAATATAATCAACAAAGAATATATAATTTTATGTTTATCCATCATTCTTAGTGAGCTCTTGGCAAATGCAAATGCAAAAAAAAAAAAAATCCATGTTCATGGGTTTTTGAATATATTCAGTAAATCAGTTCAGATCAACAGAAGGAGAGATATTTAGAGGAAATGATACAGGAAAAGAAAAATGATTCAAATCAATAATATCTTTTCACCATCTCAAACAGAAAACTTTGTAAAGATAGTTTGTAAATGTTACAAGAGATTATATAAATACTGTACGAAGGCTATGTTCTGGTGAACTAGATTTAGCACTATAATCATTTCACGAAGAATTTTGATCATATAGCTATTAACTTTATACTGCATTTTCAGTCGAGAACACAAAAATGATGCATTAAACTTACTGCATAATTTCTCTATTGAATATTTAGGAGAAAAAACGCAGTAATAATTCACTAACCTGTAAACACAGTGGTGCAAGACAGCAGTAGAGGAATGAACACATTTTGTAAGTCCATCACAAGCTTTCATTTCAACAGAGCAATGACACACGCTGTGTTACACCAGTTCATCTTATAAAAAACTGTTCAAAGTTCAGTCACGTAAAGGGAAGTTAAAACAGCTGCCTACAGCCCTGACAACTTGTAGATGAAGTTGTTTTAAAACAGAAGCAGAAAAAGCAGAAATGCTGAGAGCAGATATATTTCCTAGAAGCTGCATTTATAGAGTGGTGAAAAATGGTGCTGCATTTATACAATGGTACATTGTATACATTTCTGGTTTTGACTAAAAATCACATTTAATGACTCTAATCAACTTCAAGAAAAAAAAATATTACAATTAATTGATTCCACAAAAATTATTTAATTTTTGTTTTAATATTTCAGAAATAGCATTACATCTAAAGAATCTTTATCTTTACATTAGATGTTGATGTTGATGGTCACTTGTTAGATTTCCACAAGATCAAGGTTTTACATTAATGGAATTACCAAAAAATATTGTAATCAATGTTCTGTGTGTGTCTGCTACTGTATGTATAGTATATGTTTATTGATTATATAACTTGGAGCTCGAGCTGAGCCTGTGTGTGTCGGTCATTTGTTACAATTGTGTCAAATGTCTGATTTTGGTGACTGCAGTAGAAATGATCAATATTAATATTTTGTTTGTAAGTGTTTTTGAGGTTGTTCAAATAAAAGAAGTGTGGAATAACATAGGATAGTAAAACTAAAACTAATTAAGTATAATTTTATATTTCCATCGAGTCAATTATATTTTATTATTTCTTCAACTTGAATAAATCCGGTTAATTCAGATGTAACGTGACTGACATGATCAAATGTAAGTCTTGACTCATGTTCATATCGAGCGCTGGGTGGCGCAGTGAGCTCTCTGCATTCTATAACAGTCGTTTAAATAGTTCCGATGGTTTACGCAGCAGCTGCAGCTCCTGACAGATGAGAACTCGATTAAGGTTTCTCATGGTTTGTACTGGACACTGTGGATGTTGTCGTGTTTTGGTGAGTCTTTAGTAATTCAGAAAAACAGAAGATGTTTAGGGTGTTTTGGTGTGGTGTTTAATTTCTGTATTAAATAACTAGTTAGTTGGGCCTATTTTAATTATGTAATTGCAAAACAAAATGTATGTCTGCCAACTAAAACTTCAACTATAAAAGTAAAAAATTAACTACAGTAAGTTAAATATTTATTGCAGAAAAATTTAAGTATTCCTCCTTTTGTCTTTCTTACTTTCTTTGACATAGTAGGACAATATTTAGGTGAAGATCTGCAGTTTTCTGGAGCTTGATAACCCGCTCTCCACATCAATTGATGCAATTCGGTGGCATTTTGGAACAACTGTTATATTGGCAGCACAGTCTGATTCAACTTTAATAGTCCCAGCATACAGAGACAGAGTCAGACAGAAACAGGAATTTGACAGATTCTGGAATATATAGACTGACTGTAGAAACTACTTCAGATCAGGAGAAACTTCACTACAAGTGTTTGGCGAGTGTGTTGCTAAAAATGCTTTAGTATATTTACCATAGGCTGCAGACCTAATGGATGATTGTACGAAATGAATTTGTGAAAGGGAGAACAGCAATTTAATATGTTGTAAATAAAATGTGTGTGTAAAAATTATGACAGTTAAAGTGGCAAGCAGAAATATTAAAAAGAATGTTATATTAATGATGATGATGATGATTTAGGTAAGGATAGGCACATGTCTGCTGTTATTCAGTTATCTGTGTGGTTTTCTCTAGTAAACCAGCTTTACATAGATGGGCATTACTTCTTACATTCTCATGTCCCAAAGGTTGATTTTTATTAAAACTATACATATTTAAATTTTTTAAATGTTGTTACATGGAAATAATATTAAAACTGTCTTGGAAACTTTATAAACTACCTTTATAATTTACTTTAAAATGTCTTTTAGACTACAGCTTTTTGTTTGTTTGTTTGTTTTTTTACTCGTCTCAGACCCAGATTTTCAGTCTTCTATCATCTATAAAAATCCATTAAAATAAATTATACATATATTACAATTTATGATGATTTAAATAGAAACTGAAATAACCTTATTTCTATGAGGTGCACATATTCAAACATAAAGATTTATTTAATTTTTGATGGGTCTTCTGTACCACCAGCCTCTCTGGACTGTGTAGTCTGAGCTCAAATGTGAATTTGAAGTGGCTTTGTTTTTATAAACTTAGTTGGTTAGTTGCTAAATAAGTATTGTACTGTTTTTTTTTTTTTTTAATGTAGCATAACAAATTCTCACTGTTTTTACAAACAGAATTCAATTCCGTACTCACTAAATGTGAAAGATTCGTTTTTAGATTCTGTGTCTTTGTTTTGTCTCTCTCACTCACACAGAAAGAATAACTAATGTCAGATTATTGGTAACTTATTGGTCCAGAAGAATCATTAATAGAGGGAGAATCATCTGCTGATTTGAGCTCAAAACTGATGAAATACAGACATTCTTCAGTGCTCAGTTTAGATGGACCAGAAGATGTTTCGATTAGGGGTCAAAATGAGGTGGATTTAGGGTTTTATGTGTTGCTCTCTTGCTCTGCAAATTCTGAACCTGCTGCCTCATTCAGCTGGAAGATTAATGGAACAGACACCAATGTGACCACAGACTCATTCACCATAGATGAGACTGACTTCACACACAGTGGAGATTACATCTGCACAGCCTTGAATAATGTCACAAAGAGAAGCGCCACACAAAAACATGCTTTACTAGTTACTGTGGTTAAAACTAACCTGAAATTAGGTAAGTTTTGATAAACAAAGCTTTGACTTACATTTACAACTCTATTTTCAAAAATATACAATAAACACATTTGACTAATTTATTTTTCCTGCTATTCTACACACCTCTGTTGTAGCTTCTGCTCTTATTTTGTTTTAGAAATGTTGTGTTTTTTTTTTTAATAATTGTCTGTTACTGTTCTTGTATGTTTACCATAGTAGGTGGAGGAGGAGGAGCATACCTGTCATCATTTGGGTACCAAAATCCAGGAGATCTGAGCGGAGGGGGTGATGGGGGGATGGGGATGATTGGTCAGGGTATCTGCAGGATTTTTAAGATCAAATGTTAAGACCTGCATAAATAAAATGAATACCATATGAGTGGGTAGCGCAATGTCTATGGTAACATATTAAACCTTAAAATGAAAAATGACTGTAAAAAACATGATTTACAGTTCAGATACAGGTTTTCACAAAAACAAAAAGTTTAAAAAATGATGAACTTTACATTTCAGCCTTTAAATCATTTGTAAGAAAAGGTATGAGCCAAAAGTATCGATTATTATATTAAATGAAACAATTCTTATCAAACAATCGGGGGATACACACATTAAAACAAAAGTCGTTTTAAATAATTTAAATCGTTTAAATCATGAAATTGTATTATTTGTGTCCTAAGAAGATGGAAAATAGCAATAAATGAATTTTCTGATTTATCTTTATGGTCTTGCCCTTTTTAAAAGGCCAAATTCAGTATAAACCTTATTGATGATGCATACTTTGTGTAGCCTACATTTTAGAATGTCACGCAGTTTTAGTGATTGAAATATTGTGCCTGTGTACCGACGAAACATGCTACCTATCAGATTGTGCTACCAAAAATATATTTGCATTCTTTTAAGGGTAAGGGTAGGTGTGGACGCGTAGGTTTAGGGTAGGGGTAGGTATGGACATTAAAAAAAAGCCTCAAACCACATGAATAAGATGCTGGTAGCACAATCTGATAGGTAGCATTTTTTCGCTATCGATTTGTGCTACCTATCTTTTTAACGGGAGGTAGCACAAATCGTCAGAACACCTGCTTACCCGCAAAAGGCAATCCATTTAATCTAAATCTTTGTGGCTTGGAAACCGATGGAACATTGACAGGCTTGTGCTGCAGTTCTATGGATGTTTTGCCCTCCAGGTCTTCGAGCCAGTCACGTGACTGGGAACTGAATATGTTGGGAACTGAATGATCAAAGGTAAGACTCGTGTTAATATCCAGCGCTAGGCAATAGTATCCAGCTGCAGACCCGCAGCACCAGAAGTTTCAGAACCGCAGCCACAGAACCGGAAGTGAGGGGCGGAGTTATTGACAACGAGAGAGCACGGTGAGTAGTCTGTAATGTTTTTGCTATCATATGTTTAATAATTATCGTATATATTACGTTAAGCATTTATCTGCTAAGTACTTAATGTGTGCTTGGCTTTATTATCTTATATTGAAACTTTAATTTGTTGTCATACTTTAGTTTATAGCATATTACTTTTTTCTGTGGATGTTTCGATTAATTTTCGGATGCATGCTGTAAATGGGCCTTGTGGTGAAGTTTTGAAGACGTTTATTATTCATAAAAATAAATAGCTTGCTTTAATTCCCTCTGGTATATGCATTGTTTGTGTGTTAATATTACCTTGTAGTTTAGTTATTTTAATCCCAATCATTGAGATAATTGTGTGTGGCTCCATCTCTTGTAGAGACATATAAGAATTCAGAGAGGTGACACATTACCTGAGCTGCAGCAGTGCAACAAGTGTTACAGCAATTACCAGCAATTTTCTGCTTGACCAGCATGTTTAAGCCAGCCAAACTGGTCAAATGAATAAGTCATCTTCAAATCCACTTCAACATGCAGTTGTCTGTAGAGGTATGCATATCTTGAGTTGTTTGTTTAATGTACTCACTATTTATTATTGCATAATAGTTTACCTGTGTACTTAATTATTTATTTTAGGCTATACTATACATTTTTGCAAGCAATTATTGGTGTGATTTTTTTAGTTGTTAAGTAAGGAACAAGGAAGGTTTTTCTGTACCATGTACAGATTTTTTTTTTTCCAGTACATCTTGTCGGTTCTGTGGCTGCGGTTCTGAAACTGCTGGTGCTGCGGGTCTGCAGCTGGATATATCTCGCGCTAGGTGGCGCAGTGAGCTCTGCTGTCTAGAACTGCCGTTTATCATTGAAAACTGATGTAAATAGTTCAGATGATTTAAGCAGCAGCTCTTGACAGCTGAGAGCTCGATCATGATGGTTTCTGATAGTTTGTACTGTACACTGTGGATGTTATCGTTTTTTGGTGAGGCTTTTTTTGTAATTCAAAAATGTATGTTGAATTGCTGTGTATAATAGCTAGTTAGCTGGAACTATTTTAATTATGTAATTGCAGAAAATATATGTCCGCCTTTGCAGTTAATCATTGCTTTTGTTGTTGTGTACTTGTGAATCCAACTAAATATTTAACTACAGTAGTTGTAGCAGATAAAAAGTATGCCATCTAGTGCAATTAGTCAATATTTCTTTCTTTCTTTCTTTCTTTGCCATAGGCCAGTATTTAGGAGAAGACCTGCAGTTTTCCGGTCCGGCTAATGGAGCAGTAGGAGGAAGTGTGGTGTTCGCTCCTGATAACCCGCCCTCCACATCAATTAATATAGTTCAGTGGCATTTTGGATCAACTCTTATATTGACAGCACAGTCTGATTCAACTACAATAGTCCCAACATACAGCAACAGAGTCAGTTTTGACATAAACACTCTCGCTCTGGAGCTCTGGAACCTGAGACTGGAAGATTCTGGAATATACAGACTGACTGTAGTAACTAGTGCTCTAGATCAACATACAGGAGAAACTTCACTACAAGTATTTGGTGAGTGTTTTGCTTAAACTTCTGTATTTAATATTAAAGCATCGGCTACATAGGCTAAATATATGATTATATGAAATTAATTTAATGTGTGGAAGGGGAAAAAGCGACATAAAGCAATTTAATATGCTGTAAATGAAACACGGATGTGTAAAAATGGCAAAAGTGACAAGCAGAAGTACTAATGAGAATATAATAATAATATTTTAGATATGCACAAATCTGCTGTTATTTGCAGTGAGCTTGTGGTTAATTGTTACTGAACCAGATGTGCACAGATGAGTGTTACTTGGGGCACTCGCATGTTTAAACTTTTAAAAATGTTATTACATGGAAATCACGTTGAAACTGTCTTGAAAATTTGTAACTTTATCATTTATTTTGAAACAACTTTTAGACCATAGATTTTTGTTGTTTTACTCTTGTCTGAGACCCAGATTTTCAGTCTTCTATCGGCTATGAAAATCCATTAAAAATAAATTACACGCTACAAACTATGACGATATAAATAGATACTGAAATAAAGATAATCAGTCTATAGGGCGCACGTATTCAAACATAAACATTCCTTTCATTGCTGATTGGCCTTCTGTAACACCCTTGACCACACTAAATGTGAAAATGTGAAATGGTCACTAAATGTGAAAGACTAATTTTAAATCTAGTGTGTTTATTCTTTCTCACTCATACAGAAAAAATAACTAATGTCAGACTTATTGGTCCAGAAGATTTATTAATAGAGGGAGAATCATCTGCTAACATCAGCTCTAAGGGAACTGGCAGCATCACCTCTGTGCAGTGGATGAAAGATAACAGTCCTCTGTCTCCTAGCAACAGCATCATCTTCTCATCTGATAACAGATCAGTGTCCATCAGTCCAGTGCAGAGATCAGACAGTGGAGAATATCAATGTACATATAGAAACCCTGTCAGCTCTGAGACGGCAACACTCAGCCTGATCATCAACTGTGAGTGTTAAACATTCAAACATCAAGATGATTTGAGCTCAAACCTGATGAAATACAGACATTCTTCAGTGCTCAGTTTGTCAGTGAGTCTTTTGTTTGTGCTCTAGATGGACCAGAAGATGTTTCAATTAAGGGTGAGGATGTGGTGGATTTAGGGGTTCGTGCGTCTCTCTCTTGCTCTGCAAATTCTGAACCTGCTGCCTCATTCAACTGGAAGATTAATGGAACAGACACCAATGTGACCACAGACACATTCATCATAGATGAGACTGACTTCACACACAGTGGAGATTACATCTGCACAGCCTGGAATAATGTCACAAAGAGAAGCGCCACACAAAAACATGCTTTACTAGTTAAAGGTAAGCAATTAAAACTAACCTGTGTTGTAAACATTTGATAACCATTGCAATTTTTCTAATTGCATTATTAATTTCTAATCTCTAATTTTTTACTATGTAATTTTACTATGTAAAATGCCCTAAAGTAAGTATTCTATGCTGTACATGATGTCAGTCTGTTGTTTCCTCTGTCTTTGTCATAGTAGGAGGAGGTGGAGGGCTGTCATCAGGGGCGATAGCTGGGATTGTCATTGGGGTTTTAGTGGCAGTTGCAGGCATTTGTGGTCTGACTGTCTATTTAACAAAAACTAAGAAAATGTGAGTAATGTGGCAGATCATGGTGTATTTTGTAATCACACGCCTGTGATTTAACATATTATATACATCAATACATTTGTATACAAATCACAACTTCAGCTTCCAACAGGCCTTTGTAAATCAAGTTCTACATACATTTATGAACTTTATGATCTCATTCTTATGTGATTTTATTCCTATTTTATATGAAATAGTGTTCCTGAATTTCAGTGAATTTTCTTAACATTTGAATAGTGATATTTCATACATAATAAAATGACCACAGTAACTGTAACTGTTAAAAAGTGATTTTTTGTGAGACAAAAATGTGGTAAAGAAACTAGTTGTAACAAAATGTCTTTGTGTTTATGCTACAGCCCAAAGTTAAACCAACAACAAAAAGGACCAAGTGGAGGTATGTTTGTTATTCATTCATAATGCCAGCATTAGTATGATTTGATTGAACAACACAACTGACATCACCAATTATATCTAGATTGCCCTTGATAATTACATTACATAATAGATTTCAGATTAACTATTCATATTACAGATGATTCAGTATACATTTCTTTCAGTATCAAATTCATTGAGTCTTTCTTTCCTTAAACAGCAGCACAAAGCAGAGAGGAGACAGTGAGTAACCTCTTCAGTCTCTTCTAAAAGTAAAAAAAACAAACTCATCCATCAATAAACTCTTTAATTACCTCTTAGAGATAAAACATTAAAAGTATATTTTATCTCTAAGAGGTAATTAAAGAGTTTATTGATGGATGAGTTTATATTTACACTAAGCTCAAATGGACTTTAATCTTTCACATGTTTCTGCACAAAGACATGCTGATGATCACACTTAAACTATGGATATTGACAAATATTCAATCATTATAGTCATTAGTACCATTTATAGTAGACTTTCTGTTTCATCATTTGTTTATCAGCAACATATTTTACATTTAATTTAACCTCAAGTGACAACATCATTCTCTCTGATGTTTTGATTATAATTTAAGAAAAAAAAATTGTTGGACGCAAACTATAAATAAATTATTGATTTGCAGAAGGCTAGAGGAGATGGAACGGTTCCAGGGAAGATGAGTGAACATATATACGAGAATGACAAACATGAAAATGTGTATGAGAATGTAAAACTTGAAGATTCAAGAAGGCCAAGGGCTCCTACTCCTCCTCAGGTGAGCAGTCCAGTCCAGTTCATCCCATTGTAGAGCATCATGTGTGTGTTTTGGCTGCATCACAAAATAAGTGCTATTTATTCTTTTCTGTGGCTTTGCGGTAAAACAGTAAGGAAGTCATTTGGTTGGTTTAATTTATTACATGCTTGTGTAACATCTCCGTTCAGGTATCAAACCCTCCTCCTGTGCGCAGGTGAGGAAGTGAAGACACTGAAAAGCATGTACTGCAAGATGATCTATCAGGCTGTATAATATTTTTCTGTTTTTTTTTTCTTTTTTTACAATTTAAAGATAAAAAAATTGTATATGGCCTATTACTGAAATATTATAAACTGTTGCATCAACTGAGAACTGTTTGTTCTATGTGCTCCACTCATGCAGTTTAATTATAAACTTGTGTTTGACAATTGACAAAGGTATTTTTTCCTTACATAGTTCCTTACAAAGTCACAAAAACAGAAGTATATTTCTGTAACCGTAAAAGATTAAGGTCAAAGCCATAACCGTATACACTGAGTTATAAAAGCGAAATGTCTGTTAATGACGTGAGAACATGACATACAAGTACTAATAACAGAATCATATCTGCAGATCTGGTATTGTAATGATCATTTGCAGGCTCACATGGAATCTGCACACACAGAACTCAGTAGAAAGCAGATTGAACACCAGTTCTTTAAGTCCTACACATTTGACATCCTGTCTGTGCTCATTTATTCAATATTTTTGACTAGTGTTTTTACATTTAAATATTAATTATATTTATATGTATTTATAATGCATAAATTACTCAGGCTTAGCTATACTATTGACCTCATGCATGAAACAGCTTCTCAGAAATCATCAGACACATCCTCATTCTTTCTTTCCTGCACTGGGCCAATAAAAGACGATAAAACTGATAGTGGATAATGAAAAACAAAGGACACATTCATGAATAAAATCACCTTTAGACCTGAACACAACTTCACTCAGGCAAAAGACATAAGGAAGTGACATTTTATTCTGGTCGTCAGGGGCGGATTGGGACACAATTTCAGGCCGGAAAATCTTACACTCATTTAGGCCATCCTATACACCCACAGCAAATTCTGAAACCACAGACAACGAGTATAGGCCTACTTGTTTTTATTATAGCCTATGATAATTAATACATACA